TCGCACCACAGCATGCGGTACAAGTTGCTCATGTGCGAGTCGGCGACCTGTAGCGGCGTCACCTGCTCGTGGCGCGGCAAGGTCCGCGTTTGTTCCGACAGTGGTGAGTTCTATATCTACGAGCTAGGTGATCCCTTCACCGCCTCCTTCTCTCCCAAGCGTGCTAGGCTGTCTGGAAGGCAGATAGAGTTCTGCCGTGAGCTCGCCAATCAGCAGCTGCGACCGCTGCGCATCCAGCACGCGATGGCGTGGAAGTTCCAGCTTCCTGCGGACGACCTCCCTCCCTTGGACAAGGTGCAGAACTTGTGCAATCACTACTCGAAGACGGAGCTCGAGAACCACGACCGGCTGGAGGACCTCACCCAGTGGATCCACAGCCGAGCGTACACCGGGAGCAAGGGCGACCACGACACGTTCACCTTTGCGTGGGATCTCGATGAGAGCAGGAAGCCAATCATCGGCGACGGCTCAGATGAGGAGCCCTTCCTTGTGGGGCTGACAACGAAGGCGTTGGTGCGAAGGCTCAACTTGCCCTCCGAGTATTACGTACTGCACATGGACGCCACCTTCAAGATCAACACCGCGGAGTATCCGGTGATCGTCATCGGCATTTCCGATCGTGCGCGCAGCCTCCATCTCGTGGCGTTGTTGGTGGTGTCCCAGAGGCTGCAATTAATTTACGAAAGCTGTCTGGCAGCGCTCAGCCGGCTCTACACCTGGATCACGCAGCAGATACTGATGCCGCGATACGTCATGGGCGACGCTGAACAAGCCCAGCGCAATGCAGTTTTCACAGTGTTCCAGAGCAGCTCTGGCATGGAGTATCTGATCTGCTTCTTCCACGTCATGACCAACGTGGAGAAGCACATGAAGAAATTTCCCTCGCACGTGGCGGGTGCATTAGTGCGAGGGCTGTATAACGTGCATTTCGCCCGTGACCAGACCAGCTTTTCCTATTTGCGGGACCAGCTCTTGTGGGCCTGGAGGAACTACCCGGGGCTGGTGGACTTCTGCGACTACCTAAAGGCGCAGTGGCTGCGTAGACCGTTCTCATTGTGGCAATGCTACTCAACGCCGAGTGGCTTTGCCACAACGAACAATCCTGTTGAGCAATTCATCAAGGTGTCGAAGCGGGATTATACGTTGCGGCGAAGCGCATCGTCGTGGAGGGGGCCAAGCAAACCACGGAGGAGGCGATTGCCGTCTCAGCCCAAATAAGCGTCAATTACGCCAGGATGGAAGTGCAGAACGGAGCCATCGTATGGGTGGCCCGTTCAGTTGCGGAGGAAGTGGTGTCCCTGTAATTACTCCTTCAAGTTCGGCACCTGTGTGCACCTTATTTTCGCGCTCCGGGCTACGGTTCGCATGGATGGAGCAGGTCGGCGCATACTCGTGAGCAGACGCATGGGGCAGAAGCGTGGAGTAGCAGGCACCGACGCTGGGGGGGTGGTCGTCCGCGAGCAATCGGACCTGCACTATCTGCAGACGGACCCAGCACTCGCGGATGGGGACGTAGGAGAGGATCTATAGCGGCACGGAGTCTGACTAGGGCCAATGCATATTGAACAAGCGAGTATATCCACAACAGAGCTTAAAGTTTTCCTGCACTTGAAACACTTGCATGCGTCGACTGCCCCGATGTCCGGGAACTTGACGCCGTTGCGCTTGCAGCTCGAAATGGGCTCGACGTCTGACGGCCATGGCACCGTCTTGAGCTGCGTGCGAGACAGCTTCGCTGCTGGATCCTGGAACACATCCCGTCTTGCGTGCAGAGTCTCCAGCTGCTCTCTCACCTCAGGGCTGTTCTTCAAGGCCTTGAACTTGACGGCCTGTAACGTCTTCGCGTGGTAGATCTCCGAGCCGCTCTTGGTGATGGCGCACTTTGCCAGATAGCGGCGCTTTCTCGATCTCGGGACGTGCCATTGCGCTCGCGTTTTCTTCGCCTGGTGGCGGATCTTGGCCCGGGCGTGACGGTTCGGAATCGCCCGCACATACACAGCCGCCTCAACTTCGCTTGATGGACTTGGCTCGGCAGACTTAGCACCGGAAAGCACTCCACTCTCATCACACGACGACACCAAGTCGATAATCTCCCTAATAGACGATCTTTCGTACGCTTGCTCGCTTCGTGCCTTCTTCTCCGACCGTGCTGGAGCCTTACCACCGCTCGCTGTCGCCGCCAACGGCCGGGTTGGAGTGCTGGGCAGCTCCACCTGGCTCAAACTCGGCGCTGGCTCGGGAGAGCTGCACGCGCTACTCTGGGGTGTCTCCGGAACGATCTCCTCGCTTTTATCACGTAGCGCCTCCCGAACGGACTCTACCGCAGCATTGATTGCCCCGGCAAGCGCTGAATTGAGTGCGCTGGCCCTCGATGGAGCTGCAAACGTCCCTGCGACGAGCTTGAACGTCCGTAGCTTCCTCCAGAGCGAGGCACTGGGATCTAGCTGCTTTCCAGACGCAGCAGTGACTCGCTTCATCATCATGTCGCCCGGGATTACGTCCCCGGTGTCCAAATCGACCTGGAAGTCTACGTCCGCGCCGAAAGCCCTTGGGGTCTCTACAGACGAAGGCACGACAGTAGTACTCGATCGTGTCACCAGCACACAGAGTCTCTGGAGGTAGCTCAGAGGCGCTGAGGCCCGGCATGCTGCTCTGGTGTGTGCTGGGGCGCGTGCGGCTTTCTGGGTTGGCGGCGCTGCTGCTGCT